CGGCAATGTCAAATATAATCACGGTGCCTAACACTGCGAGACGCACAGCGTAGAGCAGTGTGGAGTTGTTACTCTTCTAGCTAGTTTAGTCTCAAGCTTCTTAATCACCAACGCTCAGGTTAGTGTTAATGCCGAAAAAACTTGTACAGCCAACTTTAAGTCCTGCTGAACTATTATCACCGCCTCGATGAGCTAGTTTGTGGGTCGTGCCCTTTGTGGCGATTCACATTAGGTTTAAGCGCAATCTCATGCGAAAGTGCAGCCTCCAAGGCTATGCGCTGCTTCCTGATGGGGACGCACTTGCCAGTCGTGAGACAATACACAAGGCCCTAGGCCTTCAAAAACCCACTGTTGAAGTCAACCTTTGCACGGAGATATCGCATTGGCACTCTATTATTTCATGAATGCGCTTACGTTTAAAGGGAGCTTGCATATCCGCCTTCACCAAAGCCAAATGGGCATATAAATGGCTAAAAATGACAACAATGCTTCTATTTGATGGCGTTTTTGCTTCATGAAATACACGGACCTTGAATACGTTTTCGGAACTGTAAACGTTCCGTGTGGCGATGGTGTTTAAAAATCTTAGGAGCTAGAAACTCAGAAAGATGTAAATAGTATTAAAAATAAAATGCGTCCAGATGTAGCGTCTCATTGGACAAACTAAAAGACTAGTTCTTGGCAACACTGTATTTACCAATAGAAATACGACTCGTTGACAGGATGTCGAGCTGAAGTATCAATCTCAAAATTTGAAGTTGAAGTAGCTCTGCCAGAAGGGTACTCTGCTGCATTTTCGTTACCTCCGCTTGTCTCTTTGCACACTTTGTTCTAACTTCAACTTAAATGATTCCTTTTTAACCCTTTGTTACTACGCTTATGTCCTGTCGGTATTATGTCTGTAAGGGTACTGTCGTTAAACACTGCCTTATATACAAACTAGCATCTAAGTTGCCGTGCTAACAATCACAACTTAACATTTTATCTACTACAGCGATCGCGACGGGCTGTATCTGATTGGGATATTGCACGTGTGCACTCCTGTCCTACAAGACATCCTTCGACGGCCTTCCCAAAATACTTATTAGAATTTTTCTAGCAATTTCGGCACATTGACAAGCTAATGTATCACCTATACGAGTAAAATTAAGTTTGCAAACCAATAAATGACGGTGGTCGACGGAGACTGATGTTAAGTTCAGCGTTAATTGTTTTGAAATTAAAATAGTTAGATTTAACACAATTCGTTTAGTGTCCATTTTGAAAGAAAATTGCTATACGAGTGTAGCTTTGCATCAGCTTGTGCGCTGGTTTCGCAAACGCTGAAGAAAGGAATTGCTTGTAAGGGTGAATCAATGTTGAAAATCGGACGGCGAAACCATACTAGTCAACCTAGCACATGGCAGCAGCATAGATTAAACGCTAAAAGGCATACACAAAAATGCGTGGGCACATGGGCAAACGTTGCTTAACGGAAGGGCTATTGTTTCCTCGCGTAGTAAGCCTACTTATACTTCCGTTTTCTGTTTTCTGGGTGACCTAAAACGAACCATCGCAACGGCCAAGCTTTCCTCTACGCAGGACTGTGTCGCTGCATTTTTCCATACCTAAACATTGGTATTCGACCACACTTAATTGATATGAACATATACGTACGTATGCATATAAATAGATAAAATATTCATCTCACGTAAGGTAGGACACGGGAGCAAAATTATATAAACTTAAGAAAATAATAAATTTTCAACCTCGGGTTCACATGTTGGACTAATTAAAAACGTAGTTTAATAGCTGATTTAGATAGAAAGCGGCTACAAATTAAGCACTTTATTGCATTTGTCAAGTATTTTGTCTAATATTTTTATTTCACTATATAACCATACGTATGGTAAGTATGCTCATGATAACCAGTAAAATCCGGATTATCCAAGCAGATGTTTCTGCCTACGACATTATATCAGCTCAAGTCGATAGGCCACAAAAGTACACCTAATTTATCGGCACAAAAAAATTATTTTATCATGGTAAAACTGGCTGAATCATCTGCAAATGTGGGGCAACACAAGAGGAGCAACTATTGTCGAGAGTTCCTGCTCTTGACATAGTGCACTTTGGTTTCCCGAGGCCAATGGTTCAAAGTCGTGGATTTCGCTAAGCGGCTTCTGACGGATCTAAGGAAAATTGTATACGCCAGCTTTAAAAGTCCAGGTTGAGAAGAAGATTAAAAAGATTCTAAATCCTATCGAAAAAGCGCACGGTGTTATTTTCAATCGCCTGAAATCTTCGAAACACAAGTTGTCTGGACCAAAGCATGCCTATCGCATATAAGGCAGTTCATTAAAGCTTCTGGACTTTCGAAGTTTTGGCCTTTATTCATTTTCAGCTTTCTGACAACTCAAATTTAAGAAACTAGATCACACCGTATACTGCGTAACTCAAAGATACTTCAATAGGTCAACAACTTTGCGCTGCTAAAGGCCACGATCAAAACGTGGCCTACACATGCGAAGCAAACTAATAAAAATTTAGTTTATTGACAAAATTATCTATTTCTCTTTTTAAAGGACAAGATCGAAGGTATTATCTGTACAATCTGAAGCTGTTGAGGACGGTTGAACCGAACCAGATATTTTTCTTAGGAATGCTTGGTTGGTATAGACGAACGTATTTTATACAGTTTTATCTGGACTTTTATGTACGTTAACAGATAAAATTGTCTGCAGTATCGTGCGGAAATTTGTCCGAAAGTTAGATGTTTGATTGGAATATAGTTATCCGTACTGTTATAGACACTGATGTGACAGACCCCGTTCAAAAGTTCTTGTCGGATTAATTATTGGCTGCAAAACACAGAACAGCGTAAACGAGGGTAAACTGGCCCGGAGTATGAAACAGAGTGCTGGGTTTCAAACTTCGACTACCACGTGTTCCTGAGTTAAGTAGTAAAATACGCTACCACTGTACCATCCTGGGATTAGTTAGAGTCACAGGTTGTTCTAAAAGAAATTGTGATTATAACAAGTCCGCTAAGCGCTGCCCGATCGGGCAAAATACCGCTTTCTGGATTCCCGTCTGGAGACTCGTGTTGAATTATTAGAGTATACACAGAAGAAACGCCTTTGTGGTGCTCACGTCTGCTGCCAGCTCGAAATCGCTACGCAATAATAAGGAAGACTCGAAAAACGAAGCCAGGTAAAAAATAACGTCTCTATTTACGCTCAGTTCTATGAAAGTGCTCAGTTCTCAGTGAAAAAACGAATACGACATCGTAAATCATAGGGCTGTATGTGCGATTACCTCTTTCTTAAATATCTAACAATATTTTGCCGATTTAGAATTATTCCTTGAGCCTGTTTTGTTCATAAAACAGCTCGAGGCGTTAGTGCAATACGTTGCCCTACTCCTACGACCAAATATAAAAAGAAAATGCCATCACTTGATTCAGATTTTTATACCACTAGAACTGTTACTTACGAATAGTGTAAAGACATATAAATGTTGTTGTTAGACAGTTTGTCTAGGATTTTCGTCATCTATGGCACTGCGTCAGGCGGTTCCGACCATCCAATAAGATATGTATCTGCAGGTTCCGTATTAAATACTCCGGTAGCAGTATCTGTGATTATGCAATAATAATTTGTTTGCCTGCGAAACGTAGGGGCCTGTAGTGATCTAGTTCAAGAAGGCACATATAGAAACCTCATTTCGTGCGGAAAGCCAGTTTTCAGCAGCACCGAGCATGAAGCTTACAATATCTATTTTGTTTGCTTATTATTTTTTTTGGGCTGTTTTATTGAGAAGATTTGTACTAATATCTTGACACGTTATATCTTTGTTTTTATTGCACTTTTTTTGCAGTATTCAAAGCTACGAATGTGACAAATACCTTGTTAAAACATTATTAGTTTTAACTATTTACTTAATACTTTTTTAGAAATGTTTTAATAATTTCGTCCTGAAATCCTACCCGGAATGCTTATACCATTAGGCAGCGCCTTACACATACAGGTTGTTTGCATAAAAGCAATCAATCACACAGTATGGTCTGTTACAGTTGGTCACCGACAACAAACGTTAAGAAGTCATCATGGCGTGATAGCTCCAAGTTGTTTTTTGAACATAGATAAATCGAACTCCTTGCAAAAAGGCGATACTATCCAGCTTAGCGCTTCATTCATTGAAATTATAAAAAGCCTTTGCACAGATTTAAAGAGATGTTTTTGGACTGACTTTATGACACAAGTCGGGTTGAAGTAACTCTCGGGGCTTAGCCAAGCTCGAGAGCTTATCTACATCCTCGAGATGATAACTAACTCCGAACACCACTGCTTATGTAGGTAGATAACCTATGACACAGAGACAAATATAACCTCAGGACAGTGAAGGATACGTCACGAACAATCACTGTAACAGAATTGTTATTGTGGCAAAGAGCGTTTGATCAAATAAACAAGTCACCATGTTCAGGAGCCTGTAGTAGCACTTTCTGGTGATCTTTCGCGGCTTTTTTTTATTCTGATTGCATCGAACAAAGAAGATTTGTACAGCTGTTATAAACAAAACTGTTATAATCATTAAAATTTTGCTGAAAAATAAGAACACGATAGAGCTCAGCGTTACAAATGGGTCCTAGGTATAGCAGAATACCGTTTCAAACATCGCCGAGTACCTCTACATCCAGGAGCTGGTTTTAAGTGTCGAACATACGCATTTCATTTTCGATTTTCAAAATTGACAGATCGGTTTCGAAAACTACGAGTAAGAGAGATTAAATTCTTAGCTGTTTTTTTCAATTGTTACCATGATTCCTATTTCCCCAGGTTTGACGTATGCTCTAATGAACACAAACAAATCCCCCTTTAGAAAATTCTACATTCTCGGGTAATACTAAATAGTAATCCTTATCGGTTATTTTTAGCAAGCAGATCGAATCGCAGACGTTTCTAGGACGCGCTTGCCTGTATACCGTATGAAGGAGTCAAACAATGCGACACAGCATAATAATAAGCAGTGGTTCTCGGTACGTACAAATTCGATTTCAAATCGTTTACCCTCAGCACTCCTTTTACGAAGAACTCCAGATTTTTAACCCCCCATTTGCCATATTTTCCTGGCGCACTTCTTCATTAAATTTAAGGGCGGATGTACTTACTGTGTTGGCATGAATGACCTCGTTTAGATATGCATTGCTGAAGTGTTATAAAAGTGGCTGCAAAACCGCGCAGAGGGGGGCACGCGGTGCAGACTTGGATTACACGTTCAATTCGTGCTTGCGCATTTCGGTTGACTTGGAGGCTTTGTCGAGCCATATAAATTGAGGGTGTTGTCTGGTAAGGCCGAGAAGATCGGCAGACGAACTAACGGATAGACTGCGCAGAGGGGTACTTAGCTTTACGTAGTGGTTTCAGCAGAGGGAGGGAGGGAGGGAGGGGAAAAGGCGACCGCGTCCTTCGGATCAACCTTGTCCCTTTGCTGTAGAACCTTCCCTTTCTCCCTAGAGCGACCCTTCTTTAACGTGCCAAGAACGCCCCTTACTCATTCTGCACTCTCCATCCTCCTTCGCAAGCCTGCCGCGCCTGGGCCTGCTTCGAAACACCGCAGAAGCAAAGGGTAGTGAAGAGGCAGCTCGAACAGTGGTGCTTGAGGAAAGCTGAGGACTGCCGTCAACGATACTGCTCATTGTGCGTGGATCAGCAAGCGAGCCGCGTGCTTCAGAATCGTCGTAGCTCTATGTAGTGGAAAAATATACAGTGTTCGATACCGACGACCTGTCGGTATTTTGTGAGTGCTTTCTGTGTGTGTCTGGCCAGGATACGACGCCATGTGAATTTAGAACCCGATAGCCTGGCAGCAGTGATGTGTGTATTATTGTGCTGTGTGCAGAACTAACTACTGACGTGTGTGGAATGTGGTAGACTTTAGAAAGTAGACATATTAACGGGAAGATGACTGTAAGCTGAGCCTTGCCGTGACGTGACGTGACGGTCGAGCAAATAGAGGTGGCACAAGAACGCCTTGCCATGAGGTGGCGTCGTCTCGACTCTGCCGTCGTGCTGCTGATTCTCACGTTAGAGGTCGCATGGACAGCCAAACGTGCGTAGTTTTACTTACACTGGAATCCAAAGTTGCTATCAAATGTCTATTGGACAAAACAGATTTCCTGTGTATGTTCTGATAAGGGAGACGGTGGGCTACCTGAGGGGGTCGAAATACGCGGATCGAATAAGATACGAAATACTGTGAAGTGCTCCCTTCAAAATAAATTGATCAACATTTTTATTCATAACTAAGGGCTTGAAAATACGATACCACAAGCGACATGGTATAATTTGCACTTATGGGTATTCAATCCTTACGTAAACAATTGTCCGCAAAGCTTTGTCGAGAATATCTTATAATCGAATGTATCGAACGTCTGCCTTTTTCGATATGAATGAATGCTACGAGAGCGTTGACACTAATTTCCAATGTCGCTGAGAGGTAGACAAGGTCTCTCCTAAAAACAGAATTTTTGTTGTAGGTTTTGCAATGAATCAATTTGGTGTTGCTATGACTATTTTCCAAATGACAAAGCTTCGCTGCGCAACGAGTCCTTAGTAAACGCACACTCGTTCCTCCTCAAAACGGTTATATTTGCTCTTTGATGCTTTTTTCACTCATCTCTTCTCACTTTCTTTTACGATATTCTTTAAGCGCATTATTTGACAAACGACTGGTGACAATAGACAGCTCTGTTTCTAATGAAAACGGCATCCAAGGGTAAAATTTGTCGGGCGCCGGCTACCATCGGGGCCGTGATGGCTACATGAAAGGACCTCTTAATACGCCAGGGACGCCACACCCGTCATCATCCTAACCAGCCGAAACGGAAGCTCAGGCTGACATGACAGATAGACAAACAAAGGGGAAGTAGCTTTGCGGGCAGCCACAACTCCTGTTTTTCCATCTTCTGGTCCTCCTATTTATCTTTAGATGTCTCTTTTCTTTTTTGTGGTAGCTTTTAGCCTACTCACTATTCATCCAGTAGCACGAAACCAGTAAAAGGGTTTGTACGCCATTCGCCTCACTTAACCACGCGCTGCGACATGCCAGAAAATGCACGGGGCATGATTGGACGGGCGTTCGCAGACCAAGCTTCAGACCCTACATCATCGCATGTCAGGCTCTCCTGGGAGTACATCGATATCTGAAAACAAGGGTTTCGCAGGGCAGACAGAAGAGTTCGGCAGGAGACATGCATGAAATAAAGGTTGCCTTTTTCCTCATCGCTGGTTGTCCTGCATGACTATCATATCATTCCAGTGCATCCAAGCGCAAGAGTATTTCACCCAGAGCCTAATTGTTGTTGTTGTTGTAGTTCATGGGTGCACCCGGATACGGACGGGAGTTTATTTGGTACGCATTACTCATAAAGCAAAGTACCACGGAAACAAAAAAAATCCCTCTAAATACAACAAAGGTCATATTGTATGCATATGTATGTATATATATATATATATATATATATATATATATATATATACTTACGTTGACTTCTGGTTGTCTGTTGCCACGTACTCAGGTAGCGAACCCATTGCAACTGTTTCTGTATAGCAACAACCTTTACCATTCTGAGTGTTTTAGATCTATTATAATACAAACAATTAAATACTTACAACCACGGCTAATGTTTGTATGACGGTTGTGCTTATTTATTATATAGAAATAAACAAGCACAACCGTCTTAGACGGCTGTCAGACACACGGTTATCAGTATCTTTCTGAACCGTGCGGTATTCTCGGCATCGGTCTCGAAGAGGGATATCAAACCCATTACTAATAAAAATTGGACATGCAAAAAGTGCTCTTATGCTTTATTTTAAATTTGACTGAAATTTTCGGAGTGGTTTGTAGCCTTATTATTTCATATCAGAAAATATGTACACCAGCGTTTATCCAGTGCCAAAGGTCGATCTGCAGAAAACCGTTCATCAAAACCATTTTGGACAGAAAAACTGGTCGAAAATCAGTATGAACCGCAACAACTTCAAGGGTTTCTCCATCCGCTATTGTTGGAGTATCTAAATTCAACAGGCAATGAGAGGTCACTTTAGTCACCGCAACTTAACGACGTGACTGTATGAGGCGGTTGCGCAATAATATCGATTCTCAACGCGAAGAGGCGCGAGAAATGTTAAAAGTGGAAATTGTTCATCTCATTAATTTAAGGCTATAGTCATCCCTGTTAGGAACGCCGATGCGATATCAAAGTTGCCAAATTTCTACTAGTCAGACAACTATCAATAACAAAAAAACAATATTTTTACTGTCACACAGTGAGGGTAGCAGGGAGTGAGCCCGAAAAAAGGGCTTTGTTGTAGCGCCGCTCAAGTGTGAAGCCACTGACGAGCTGACCGGAAAACAGCGGTGCGTCTTGATGAGATCAACCGAGGCCTGTGCCGTCCTTTGTCAACGCGCAGCAGAAATCACTTTCGGAAACACAGTTTAATACACAGCTAGTACCTTACTATAACTACACAAGGATATTCTCTATCTTGAATGAAAGCTAAACCACGTTGGGTCTAGAGAGATCATTCGTCACAGATGCTAAGATTCTTATGCGCATCTGACGACTTTCCAAATTTTTTTTTTTTGGTAGCTACACTGTTTGTAAACAAAACACTGCATTTTATTTACACAGTTAATACAGTTTTATGAAACGGGAGTTATATATAGCATTCATCCTTCGAGTGTAAAAGTACCATTGACATGTCGCTTTATAACTATTCATGTTGCTACAACATTCCTTTTAGCTATTTTTGTTCTCGATAATTCTGAACAATTTTTCAACCATACGCGGTTACGTTTCCTTCGTCATTTGATCAATAAGCTAAAAACGATCTCTCCGAAATAATGGTAATATCCCCTACTAATATGCTGATCATCCTCAACTTGAGTCTATAGGTCGAAGTTTTAATAATTTCTACAAATGTACTCCACAAAACGACAGGCCAAGTTTAGTATTTGATAATCTACAAATATATCTGTATCTTAGATCGTCTCTAATGCTTTTAATATCACAGCACACTTTGTGTTTCAGTGTATATTGATCTGATCGCCGGTCGGATTTATTTGGCAAATTCATCAAAGCGCCGCGACCGTAGAGTGGATCATAAGCTTAGAATCAACCGTCGGATTCAATGGCTAACGGAGTTTTAGTGTTTTTCAAATTGTGTGAGCTTGTAATATTAGCTGACGTAAAACCCACGTTTCAGTTTCTCTTCGTAATGTATTCAAATTGGTCTTTTCCGTGCCGCAGGCACTATTAGTTATGGCGGGAGTATTAGTGCTGAAAACTTCGGTTATCGTAATGGAAGAAAGTAGCAAAGATAGATTCTGCTTAGTAAGTGCTTTTTAACTTTGCGTGGCACTTCAATAAACTATAGAACTTCATAGGCAGGTATAGCACTGGAACCTTTGAGTCTGCAAGTTTTAAAATAAAAGGAAGGATTCTATAATAATAACAAAATTTTGTGACTGATACTTATTGAGCAAATATTTTCTTTTTTTTATTACTATCCATTAGGTCGGAACACATTTATCCAGTTCCACAAGAAGGCTCAAATACTAATATAGATGAATTTTCATGAGCCTTAGCGATGGTTTCTTTTGCAACGTGATAATAGTTATCAATAAAATCTAATTCAAAAAACAGATTATAAAAAAAATTATAGACGCCTTGTTTAATCTGTCTGGCTATTTTTATGCACAAATGGCCAAGCTTTCATATGGGTATCCATAGCAACTTAGTAAATTTAGTGCCAGAAATCATGGAAATTGCGCGTGTCTACGATCATCTCCACTATGTTCATAAAGACCCATTTATAATTTCAATAAATCGTTGAAACACAGGAACTATGTTAGTGTATATAACGTTGATTCTCGTACTTTCAAAACCGCATCATGAAGACCTAAAGTAAATTTTATTTCGGATGTATGAACCATCTATGAACCTCCCAGATTGCTCGTCGATTTTCAAATAAGCACTTAAAAAACTTATTTGGGAGAATTTTTAAAGGTAAAGAAAAGCAATTCACTGAATCCTCCTATTTCGAACAATTGAATTTACAGTATGAAAACCGTCCTAATATTTATGATCTTTTATATGCTGTAGCCTGCCGTATATTCAAGCAGAAAATTGAATTTTCAAAATATGCTCTTTGTGTGAATTCGCTCAACCGGTAGTTGCACATAAGAAAGGTTGATTTTGTTAATATACGTTTTGTTATTAATCGAGGTGGTGGACTATGCTATTCTCCTGCGGTATTTGGTTCGAACTGTTTTCTACCCCATTTTTCTCACTATCGAAAAAATTAAATTTTGAAAATTATTTGTGAGCGATTACTATGTAAGAACCTTTTGTATAAGCAAAGGAAGTCCTCTTCTCAATACGTGATGATCAAATACGTTGAAACATGTTAATGAGTTTGGACTAAGCTGAAATTTTTAGAATTTGCTTTTTACGAGTGGCTTATCATATGTGAACAAATATCTACCCTGAATTTCCCGGTCATTATCGGTTATTTCGTTAATAACAAATATCAACAGGTGGAACACCTGACCTCTTATAGTGTCTATTCCTCAAAGTAAACGTCTCACTTAAGCGAAACTAGCCTTTGAGAACATTAAACAAATCAACACCATGTAGGCTACATGTGATCCTTTTGCTTTTGGTCCCATTATAGACTGCCTCTGGTAGAGTTCTGAACGCGCACCTAACAACCTTCGTGGTAGTGTTCAAAGCGGTTCCAGAACCGGATATAATGGAGTGCTCTGCACCGGAGGTCGGCTACGAAAAAAGTTTTGATACCCAACAGAACGCTTTTCATGACACAGGACTTGTGCTGGTGTTATCGTTCGACATGCATCAGATGAAGACACTTCAAGCATTTGTCGCGTGTCTATGCTGTTAGCCTTACCTTATAATAAAACCTGCTGTTTCCCTTAGATCGAAAGGTAAATGTTGAGGAATAATCCTGATTAAGATTGTCGTATGGAGCGTTTGAGGAAGGCATTACCTAAAACATCTAATTCTTTGTCTTAGACAGGGCTAT